TTTTCCCAGCCTTAGCAAAGCCAAATAATTTTTTCCCTGGCTGAGCTGATACAAAGGCTGGAATAAGGTCAGGATCCCCAGCGCTGAGGCGTTTGGCCGGGCTCCAAGCGAAGACCTCCAGGCAGAGGCTTGTGGCTCTTCCACCTTTCTGGATGAGTGAATCCCTCATCCTGAGCAATAAGGATAAATATTTCTGCTGCTCTCTCCTCCAGCCCTCCATGGATAATCTTCAGCTGTAACTGCAGGACTCGGTGTGCCATGTGCAAAGGTTGGTCAAAGGATGATCTTGGAGGTCTTTTCTGACCCTCACGTGATGCAGAGCAGCTTTCCTGGGGACCATCCACCACCAGATGGGGAAGGAAGGGATGTCAGCCCCCAGACAGGCTTGTCCTGTGCTGTGTCACAGGGACCAGCAGGAATGTTCCTGTTGCACTGGTTGTCCTGGTGGAGAGCTGGTGGAGGTGCTGTGGTGGGAGCAGGGCTGCTGGACCCAAATGATGCAGAGCTGAGAGGCTGCTGCTGGAGGAGACAGAAGGGTTTGTGTTTCTATGGATTTGGGATTTGGCCAGTTTTCCCTCGAGCTCCCAGGAAAATTATGGAAACTCATCTTCTGAGCTGGTGTCGGTGCTCCACCTTGGGGGGATGGCAGGAGGAGCTTTGGGTGCTCTGTGGGATCATTTCTGCTGATTTGACTGTAGCTGTGACATTGAATTTCCTTCTTCCTGTGCTTTGATTTGAGATAATTGCAGCAAATCATGTTACTTGAGATATTTTATAGATATTTTTATATAAGTATATTTATTTATATTATGAATTGGTCCTGGGCACAGGGGCTGTTGGTATGGAGGAAGAGCCTGTTCTGGGGATCTCCTGCACCCTCAGCAAGGGGCTGACACCCCATTCCTCCACACCCTGGAAGTGTCCAAGGCCAGGTTGGATGGGGCTTGGAGCAACCTGGTCTGGTGGAAAGTGTCCCTGCCCATGGCAGGGGGTGGAATGGGATGAGCTTTAATGTCCCTTCCAGCCCAAACCACTCCATGATTCTATGATTCCAATTGCCCAGGCAGGAGGAGGAAGGTGGGATCCTGCTGCCCACCCTGCCAGGATCCTGACACGGCCACAGCAGTGGCTTTGGGGCAGCAGGAGCTCGTGGGGATGTTCAGCTCAGCCCACTCAACTGGAACGAGCAGCGTCGTGGCTGCCGGGGGCTGACCCAGGTTCCTTTCCCCCTTTTCCTGGGCTTTGAGGCGTTTATATAATTCTGCACAGTGATAAAAAATTGGGACACACTGTGTTCCTGCCTCAAGCTGAGCACTCGGGCAGGGCTTGTTCCCACAGCCTCGATCAATGGGCAGGAAATAATGTCCTGGCAAGGGAGGGAGCCCATCCACGCCCGTGCTGTGCCATCCCTGTGTCAGAGTGTTTTAATGATGGGCACTGCCCAGGCTCCCCAGGGCAGTGGGCACAGCCCCAAGGCTGCCAGAGCTCCAGGAGGGTTTGGACAACGCTCTGAGGGACAGGATGGGATTTTTGGGGTGTCTGTGCAGGGCCAGGAGTTGGACTGGATGATCCTTGTGGGTCCCTTCCAGCTCAGGACATTCCATGATTCTGTGAAAAATCCCTGGTCATGGATTGCACCTGGGCAAAGTGATCCAGGCTTTGCTCCAGAAAGTACAGAGCACCAAGAGCCCACAGGAGCCAGGACTTTGGGGAGGCATTTTGTGTAAGGCCAGAGGAAAAGGTTCTTCCCCCAGAGGCTGGTTGGGCACTGCCCAGGCTCCCCAGGGCAGTGGGCACAGCCCCAAGGCTGCCAGAGCTGCAGGAGGGTTTGGCTGATCCTCTGGGGCACAGGGGGTGACTCTTGGGGCTGGGCCTGTGCAGGGCCAGGGGTTGGATGATCCTTGTGAGTCCCTTCCAACTCATCATATTCTGTGCTGGGTTGGCCCCAACAACCCCATACAGTGCTATAGGCTGGGGACAGAGTGGCTGGAGAGCATCCAGGCAGGAAGGGAACTGGGAGTTTGGATTGACAGGAAGCTGAACATGAGCCAGAGTGTGCCCAGGTGGCCAAGAAGGCCAATGGATCCTGGCCTGGCTCAGGAACAGGGTGGCAGCAGGAGCAGGGAAGTGAGTCTGCCCCTGGACTCAGCGCTGGTGAGGCCACCCCTGGAGTGCTGTGTCCAGTTCTGGGCCCTCAGCTCAGGAAGGACATTGAGGTCCTGGAGCAGGGCCAGAGAAGGGCAACAAGGCTGGGGAAGGGACTTGAGCACAAGTCCTATGAGGAGAGGCTGAGGGAGCTGGGGGGGCTCAGCCTGGAGAAGAGGAGGCTCAGGGGAGACCTCCTCACTCTCTGCAACTCCCTGACAGGAGGGGGGAGCCAGGGGGGGTTGGGCTCTTTTTCCAGGCAACCATCAGCAAGACAAGAGGGCTGGGTCTAAAGCTGTGCCAGGGGAGGTTTAGGTTGAATATTAGAAAGAATTTCTTTCCAGACAGGGTAATCAGGCATTGGAATGGGCTGCCCAGGGAAGGGGTGGATTCTCCATCCCTGGAGGTGTTTAAGGACAGACTGGATGTGGCATCAGTGCCATGGGCTGGGAACCACGGCGGGGTTGGATCAAGGGTTGGACTGGATGATCTCGGAGGTCCCTTCCAACCCAGCTGATTCTGTGATTCTGTGATTCTATGATTCTATGATTCTGTGAACCTCTGCCTGGGACTGCCCTGGAAAGCCCCCGGGACACAGCTTGGAGCAGCAGGAACAGCCCTGTGTCCCTCTCCCAGTGAGGAGGCTCTGCAGGGTGTGGTGTCCTTGGATGCACCAGCTCAGGACAGGTACAAAGACAGTATTCAAAGCCCAGGGAATGTGTACACGTGTCCAGGGACCCAGTGCCTTTGTGTGCCCCGGGATGAAAGGCACCGTGGGAATACTTGGAACGTTTGAAGCAGAAAGTGAATCTTGGGGAGGTTTTGGTTACTGTCTCTACTGGTGGAAATGTGGCTTTGATTTTCTTGCCAGATCTTTTGGAGTTGGCCTGTACAAGGTTCCTGTGGTGTGAGCCTGTGCCATGGCTGTGGGGCCTCTGTGCACCCTCCTGGGATGGAGCCCTTTGAATTCTGCCTGTTCCCATTCCTCTTCCCCTGCCTATCACTTCACCTGTGCTGGACACTTCCCTGGTGCCGTTCCCAAAACGCTGGTCCTGTCCCTGGGAGCGGGGCCATTCCCCCTGTCCAAGCTCAGCAGCTCCCCAGGCTGTCGGTGGGAGCTGGTCCTGCTCCCAACACCTCAGCTGGCAGCTCACCTTCCTCGGGAAGCTCTTGGCTGCTTCCCCTGGGTGCTCTGATTGTCCTTTGTCCTTGGTGGCCGCTTTCTCTCCTGGCTCCAACAGCTGCTTCTCGTGCTTGTCAGAGCTCTGAGCTGTGGATGCTCCGGGCTGGATTGCAGATGGACCAAATGGTGACATTGGGAAATGCTGCCCTGGTGCTTCATGAGCTGCTCATGGTTTGCTCCGTGCTCTGTTTCCTCTGTTTTTCGTAGAATCCCAGAATCCCAGAGTGGTTTGGGCTGGAAAGGACCTTAAAGCTCATCTTGTTCCACCTCTTGCCATGAGCAGGTACACCTCCCACTGTCCCAGGTTGCTCCAAGCCCTGTCCAGCCTGACCTTGGACACTTCCAGGGATGGGGCAGCCACAGCTTCTCTGGGCAGTTTTCTTCTCCCGTTGTCCTTGGGCAGCGGGGTCGATCCTGCTGTGGAGGATCAGCCTTGTCCCTGGGCTGGGCCTCCCTGTCCCATCACATCTGTCCTGATACCATGAGCCCTGGTGCAGCTCTGCTCCTGCTTCCTCTCCAGGTTACATTATTCAGATCACTCCAGCTCTTGCCTTCAGAACACAGGAATGGAAGGATCTCTTCCTCTCCTTTCCTTGGCTGTGATTCAGCCTGAGTGATGGCTGAACATCCCTCTCAGTATCCACAGCATTTCCAAAGCTCTTATCAATGAGTCAGGAATAGAAACCAAACACCCACCTGCCAGAGAATCACGGGTTTCCTCCTTTCCTTGTAGCCCAGACAGGGGATGTGCTGCCCCTCCTGTAAACGGGAGCCATTCCTGAGCTCCGTGCCTGGCTGACTCAGGGAATGTCCTCACCCCCCTGGCACCCCCAGACCTGGCAGAGAAGGTCCAGCCATGTTTTGCTGTTCCTTTCTCTCCAAAATCCAGACACAGATGATGGAGGGAGGGGACAGGAAGGGGCTGCTCCCCTCTCCGCCGCCTTAGTGGGTTTTGGGAGCGCCTGGAGAACCCTTGGCTAAACTTTGAGCATAAGGGTGGGCACAGACCCTGTGCAGCACCTGCTCCACTCTCACTCTCTGTGTTTGCTCTGGGTGGTTCTGCGTGCCCGGGGGAGCACTGGAGTGATCAGAAGTGCCGTGTTCCACCCACTGTGTGGGTTTGGGTTGGTTTCCTGGTTTTAAGTCACCCCAGTGTTCTGGAGTTGCAGGAATAACCATTTGTGCTGTAGCTGAGATGCTGATTGTGGAGTTTTCTGCCCTCTGAGGACGTGGTGGTGGTTTTGGGTAACAGCTGTAACTCTCCTTGGTGTCTTTGTGATCTTTCCCTTGGGTGAAACTCTTTACCCTGCCCAGAGCAGAGCTTGCAGAGCCCTCGTGGGGTTTGCTCCCAGTGCAGGGCAGATCCACTCTGGTGTGCACGGAAAAGGGAGTTTTGGTGTGTGGTGGCACCAGCACGTGCCACCCCCGTCACTCAAACCTGATCCAGATCCCGGTGGCGGCCACAGGACCCCACTGATGCCTCCTGGGCCCCTGTGTAATGTCCCACATTGCTCCCCCACACCAGCTCTGCTCCAGGGGGCTGTGGTGGCCCCGGCCCCGGCAGAGCTGCAGGGGAGGAGGAGGAGGCAGGAGGTCCCTGGGAGGAGACAGGAGGTCCCTGGGAGGAGGCAGGAGGTCCCTGGGAGGAGGCAGGAGGTCCCTGCCCGTGTCGATGACGGGTTAGCTCGGTCCAGGGGTAACCATGGAAACTATTTTCTCCCCATCCCTCCCTTCGCAGATGACTCGGGTGACGAGGAGCCCGCCTCGCAGTCAGACAAGAGCGAGCTGCACGGCCCCCTGAAGACTCTGTCGAGTAAACTGGAGGACCTGAGCACCTGCAATGACCTGATCGCCAAGCACGGCGCGGCCCTGCAGCGCTCGCTCAGCGAGCTGGAGAACCTGCGCCTGCCGGCCGAGAGCGGCGAGAAGATCAAGGCGGTGAACGAGCGCGCCACGCTCTTCCGCATCACCTCCAATGCTATGATCAACGTGAGTGCTCTCCTCCTCCTCCCCTCCTTCTCCCCTCCTCCATCCCTGTTTCTCCCCACGTTTCTGTTCTGTGGGTCGCTTTGTGTTACCGCGGGGCTCGGGCACGGCCGGGGCTCGGTGCCGGCTCGGGGATGGGAAGTTGGGAAGGTGCAGCTGGGAAGCGGGCACGGACACATGGAGCACCCCCCAGGAAACACAGGTCTGCTGGATCCTTACACCGTGCTCTCTGGGGGGGCTGCTCCAAATAGGTCATTTTGGATGTAAAGCTGGGAAGTGCAGAGGTTGGGAATGCTGAGGGACTTTCTGCTGTTCTGGGGGGGGGATTTTGGACTGGCTCAGCAATTGTTGCCTGCTGCAGATTGAGACCCACATCCCACATCACTCACATCCTCATTGCTTCCATGAAGCTGCTCGTGTTCCACACGGCCACAGGATTTAACCCCCTCGGGGTCTCGTGCCAGCTGTGCTCTCCCAGCCGGGTTGTTGGAGGTTGGGAAGCGTGTTCTGGCACTGCCTCTGCTCCCTGCCCTGTGCAGCCTCACGGTGCTTTCTGCATGGGTTTTGGAGACAGCCTGTGTTTGGGGTGTGGACCTGCCTCCATTGCAGTGACACAGCCCTTCCTGGGTAGCCTGGTTTTCCCTGGGGAGCTCTGGGAGACTGCAAAACTGAATAAAATATTCAAAGGAATGAATAAAAACCAATCCCAAAGCTTCACAGACTTGGAATAATGTATGAAGGCAGAGCTCAGGGAATTGTGAATGGAGCAGTGCTGTGGCTGTGCTGTCCCAGCCCTGAGCAGAAGGAGGTCGGGTGGTGTTTGATATGGGCTTTAAAAAATAACAGTAATCCCCAGTGGGAACTGGAGGGCACTTGGAGCCCCGTGGTTTCAGCATCCTCCCCATTCCCATTTGCAGGATTTTGTAGCTGTGGGAGCAAAGGGCTTCCTGAGGCAGTGTCTTGTGTTTCGGAGCAGTTTGAGGGTCCCACAGTCGGAGAGTTTGTGGAAGTTTTTGGGGTTGGCAGAGTGGTGGGAGGTGCCGACAGACCCTTGGCGCTGTCAGGAGGCAGAACTGCGATGGAACGTGGGCAGGGAATTGTTGGGGAGAGGATTTCTCCGGCAGCCTTTGGGAAGGGATGAGCAGAGCAAGATTTGCTGTGTCCAGCCCAGAGAGGAGGAGGAGGAAGAGGAGGAGGTTGTGGTGGTTGCGACGTGATAAATACTTGGAGGAGGCTTTTCTGGAGGGTGGGAAACACCAGAGAAACAGCAGAAACGTGGGTTGTCCAAAATTCCAAGCAGGTAAGAGGGGCTGGGGGGTGGCAGGGCATGTTCTCACATGGATCCATTTCCAACAGCATCCTTTGGTAGTTCAGCTCATGGCTGGGCGTCCTGAGGAGGTGCCCGAGGGAAAGGCTGAGCTGTGGAAGGAGCAAGACTGGAAGGAGCAGTGGCAGCTCCAGGGGGTGGTTGTGGCTCTCCCAACTCTCTGTTGTTTTGGGAGGAGGTGCTGGAGCTGTGGGCAGGGGGACACAGACCCCCAGGAAGCAGCAATGCTTTTGTGGGGTGGATTAGAGAGGCAGGAGGGGGGCGAGCAGGACAGGGGGTGGGACCAGCCTGACCCCCCATCAGGGTGGGCTGGGGCTCCCAGCCACACTGTCACCTTTTCCATGGATCCCGTTCTGTGCCTTGATTTATCCTTTTAGCGTGGGTTGGTGCCTTCTGGAGCTACCAGGGAGTACCTCGTGGGGTGGGGGGAGCTCTGTGCAATGCAAAGGTCCCGAAATCTTCTGCATTGAACATGAAACTTGGCTCCAGGAAAGCACATGGAGAGCCTGGTGAAAATCCCCTGTGCTCCTGCCCAGCTCCATCCCCCCAGGCTTCTAAGGAGCACGTATCCCATGGGAGCACAGGGTGCTTTTGGCAGGCCAGTAGTTCCTTCCAGGAGCAATTAAACTGTCCTTGCTCACCAGGTTTTCCCCAGAGAGATCCCAGCCAGCAGCTGGTGCTGGCACATGGATGCTCCGTGTCCTCGCTCTGCCCCGGCTGCAGCCCCAAACCTCATGGATCCATCTCGTGGAAGTGGATGGGGATCCATGAGGTTTGGTGCTGAGGCTGTGAGCAGAAGGGATGGGTTCTCTGGAGAAGGGATGGGTGCTCCTGGGAAGGGATGGATGTGCTGGGGAAGAGATGGGTGCTCTGCTGAAGGGGTGGGTGCCTGGGGGAAAGGATGAATGCACTGGGGAAGGGGTAGGTGCTCCAGGGAAGGGATGGATGCTCCAGGGAATATGGAATGGGTGCTCTGGAGAAGAAAGAATAAGTGCTCCCAGGAAGGGATTAGGCACTCCAAGGAAGGGATAGGTGCTCTGGTGAAGGTACGGGTGCTCTGGAGAAGAGATGGATGTTCTGGAGAAGGGGTGAGTACTCCTGGGAAGAGATGGATGCTCCTGGGAAGAGATGCATGCTCCAGAGAAGGGATGGGTGCTCAGGGAGGAAAGGGCGGGTGCTCTGGTGAAGAAATGAGTGCTCCTGGGGAAGGAATGGATGCTCCTGGGAAGGAATGGATGCTCCTGGGGAAGGAATGGATGCTCCTGGGAAGGAATGGATGCTCCTGGGAAGGAATGGATGCTCCTGGGAAGGAATAGGTGCTCCAGGGAAGGGATAGGTGCTCCTGGGAAGGAGGGATGGGTGCTCCGGGGCCAGCATGTGCAGTTTCCGTCCAGCCGCCTCTGATCCGATTATGTAAATGTCCCGGAGCCGCGGGGAACGCAGCGAGCAGGAGGAAATAAATAAATATATCTGGAAATGCAAGAGCTCTGCTGCGAAGGTGACCCCTCTGTGTGCTCTGGGAGCTACCACAGCCGGCTCCTGGTGCTTCTCCTTATGGAGCTTGGGAGCATCCCCTGGGCAGGCGATGCTGGGAGGATGGAGGACGGTTTGGGCAGAGGCAGAGCGGGACGTGCCGGACCCTCGTGTTCCAGGTGAGCATTTCAGACCCGCTCTTGCAGGGCTGAAATTTGCGGCTCCACGAGCCGCCCGCTGGCTCTGCTCCCATCCCTGCTTGGAATCTCACTGGGAACAGTCCAGGCTCCCCGGGACCAAGGAGCCCCGTGTCAGCAGGGCTGGGAGCAGACATGGAAAGACAAGTAACGATGTGCCACGGGGGAGGAGTGGGGTGTGTATGAAAATAAGAAGCAACAAATTACCGGGATAATGAGAGGCCCAGAGCCAGAGCCGGAGCGCGGTGCTGAGTTGAGTACACTTGTCCAAGGAGCAGGGAAAGCTCCCTCATAATTCAGCAGCAGGCAGGAGGGATGTGTGGATGCACTGAGGAAGCCAGTTTGGGCGTTGGGAAGAGCTCACAGGGCTGTGGGTGGTGCTGGAAATAGGTTTTTAATGGGAACGGGGAAGCTACGGCGGAGCTTGGAGGCGGCTGAACTGCGAGTGTGTGACTGCTGTGCTCTGCTGCTGGCTGGGTTTGTGCTTCCTCGAGGAATGTGAGCATGGAGAGCAGAATGCTTGGGCTTGCCTGTGTCATCCCTGGGTTAGTGTTTTCCTTGAGGTTTTGGAGGAGCAGAGGTAGAGGAAGGCACTGCCAGGCCCAGACCAGGAGGGGTGAGAGGTGGCCGGGGCAGGGGTGCTGTGCTGGGTGGGAGGTGCTGCTCTGTCAGGATTTGGGGAGGAGAGGCCCTGGGGCTGCCTGGAGCAAGCACTCCTGGGATATGAAGGACTCACCTGCCCTTGGGAGGCACTGGTGGCCACCCCAGTCTGTCCTGCCTGGGATGCCAGCACCCCTTTGAGGCAGACTGATCCCCCTCCCAGGTTCTCCTTTCCCGTGGGAATGAACCTGTCTGGAGCACCAGCACCTGAGACACCAGCACAGAGCACCCTTCAGCCTCCAAACCTGCTGAGAGGGCTTTTGAGTGTGTGAAACACAGGGCTGGAACCAGAGTGAAACAGAGAACAGCATGTGCTGCTCCTCCTCTGGGGAAGGGCCCTGGGCTGTGGGTTTAAGCCTCTCTGGGTCATCCAGCAGCATCCCAGAGGCTGCATCCTCCAGCCCTAGCAGGATTTCTCCCTGTGGATCCCTCCAGGGCTGTGCTCTGGCTCAGCAGCAGTTATGGGTGGTCCTGTGCCACGTGCCAGTGCTCCAAGGAGCTGCCAACCTCTCCCTGCAGCCAGGCTGGGCTCCTGGAGACTTTGAGTGGCATCTGCCCTGTGGAGTTGGTTTATTTGGAGTGTCTGTGCCGGAGCTGCCTGTGCACAAGATGTGCTCCTCAGAGCTGCTCCTCTGCCTCCTTGTGTCCCATCTTCTCTGCTGTTCTGTGGAGCACTGAGCCCCCTCTGCCACTGGGAATGCTGCTGTGATTAACCCGTACTCCCCAAATTGTTTCTGTATCAAACCAGACAATGCTGAGCACCTGCTCTGAGCTGCCTCAGGTTCCCAGCACAGCCTCCAGCCTGGTGTGTGAGTTCTGATGGTGTATAAGCCCCGTGTGTGTCCATGTCTGCTTTGGAAAACTGCTTAAAGCTGGGAGGAAGCGGGTCTGGGATCTCCTGCCTGGGGTGACCGTGGGACCGGGGTGATGCACACGTGGCTGTGTCCTGGTGCAGAGCTGGTTCCCGGCATGGATGGAATGTGATGCTGTCCCTCGGGGTCCCCAAACCCATCGTGGCACAGGCAGGACGATGGACCCGATCTCCTCCACCCCCACAGCGCTCCAGGGAGGGAGCAGCATCCTGCTGGGCTGCTCCCAGCTCACCCTAGGACAGCCAGTGGGCTGGAGGAGCTCTCCACCCTGTGCATCCTTATAACCAGGGGTTAATTCCAGCACTGCGGGGAGCAAACTCCATCCTTCACCCCTGGATTTGCCTCTTTAGGGCAGGGATTGCCCCCAGCCACCCTCGGGCAGCTGCTGTGCTGCCCAGAATCGGAGCTGCCCCGCGCAGGGGGCCGGGCTTGTCCCCCTGTGCCCGGTGCAGGGGATGGCGCGGGAGGAGCTGG